AAACACTTCACAGACCACAACAGAGAGGAAACACTTCACAGACGACAACAGAGAGGAAACACTACACAGACCACAACAGAGAGGAAACACTTCACAGACCACAACAGAGAGGAAACACTTCACAGACCACAACAGAGAGGAAACACTTCACAGACGACAACAGAGAGGAAACACTACACAGACCACAACAGAGAGGAAACACTTCACAGACCACAACAGAGAGGAAACACTTCACAGACCACAACAGAGAGGAAACACTTCACAGACCACAACAGAGAGGAAACACTTGGTAGAAAATACAACACCGACCACAATAGACAGGGAACACTACGTAGACCACAATAGACAGGGAACACTACACAGACCACAATAGTTAGGAGCCACTTTGTAGAGAATACTACACAGACCACAATATATAGGAGACATTTGTAGATAATACTACACAGAAGACAATAGATAGGAGCAACTTGGTAGAAAATGCTACACAGAAGACAACAGATAGGGAACACTCTGTAGAGAATACTACACAGACCACAATAGATAGGGAACACTACACAGACCACAATAGATAGAGAATACTACACAGACCACAATAGATAGGGAACACTACACAGACCACATTAGATAGGGAACACTACACAGACCACAATAGATAGGGAACACTACACAGACCACATTAGATAGGGAACACTACACAGACCACAATAGATAGGGAACACTACACAGACCACATTAGATAGGGAACACTACACAGACCACAATAGATAGGGAACACTACACAGACCACAATAGATAGGGAACACTACACAGACCACAATAGATAGGGAACACTACACAGACCACAATAGATAGGGAACACTACACAGACCACAATAGATAGGGAACACTACACAGACCACAATATATAGGAGACACTTTGTAGAGAATACTACACAGAAGACCATAGATAGGGAACACTTTGTAGAGAATACTACACAGACCACAATAGACAGGGAACACCACACAGACCACAATAGTTAGGAGCCACTTTGTAGAGAATACCACACAGACCACAATAGATAGGGAACACTACACAGGACACAATAGATAGGAGACACTTTGTAGAGAATACCACACAGACCACAACAGATAGGGAACACTACAAAGACCACAATAGATAGGAGACACTTTGTAGATAACACTACACAGACCACAATAGATAGGAGCCACTTTGTAGAGAATACCACACATACCACAATAGATAGGGAACACTACAAAGACCACAATAGATAGGAGACACTTTGTAGAGTAATACTGAAAATAACGAAACATCTGATGCTGATAACGATGTCACTGCTAACCATCTATTGAAGAGACCATTCACCATTACAGAGGCATTAAGTACAGTTAAAGGACTAAAAAACAATATATCTCCAGGACCCGATGTTCACAAATGAACATATTAAGTATGCGGAAAGATCTTTATAAAAGCGTATTATGGTATTATTCAATGATATTATTAAACATGAATATATACCCAAAATGTATCATATTGGCGAAATCACACCAGTACGTAAGGGACGAGGAAAAAGTAAAAGTGATCCAGCTACAGGGGCATAACACTAACTTCAGTCCTAAGTAAGCTTTTCCAAAGAATGCTTCTCAACAGAATCGAAAAATCGACAAACGACGATGTAGCCTTTCTTCACCCCCTACAGTTTGGATTTAGGAAAAATGCTGGTGCTGAAATTGCGGCTCTCACTCTTCTAGAAAGTATTTCTATTGGTGTCATCATTGATTTTTAATGATCAATTCATAATTTTCACCGCTGTTTTGCTTTCCATTGGAATCTGTTTCGGCACACAACCGAGACTGTCATTGACGTTTATACTACATGATCTACATAATCTGCAATTCAAATGCCTTTTCCTTTTGTCCTTTTTTCTAGCGGATTACTGGGGAATTTCGAGAAAATGCTCCGAAAATTGTCTAAATAGTAATCAGCTTACGAAGTATTAGAATGTGCATAAATGTGGCACTAAATAAGTGATTAATAAATAAAAACAAAATGCCCCCCTGGTGGTTAGCGATAAGATCCATCTACGGGATTACACTATGACTATTTAATGTTAACAAAAATGTCATGTTAGTAACGCCTACATCTGCATTAGTATTTGATTGTCTTTTCATATCATGGCCACGTGTGTTGTTTTCAAATGATAAGCAGTTATAACAATGTGCTACAATAAACATTCAAAAGATAAGTAACAAATACATTCAGTGTTATTATTACACAGCTTAACTAGTAATCTACCTATATGCCGCTTTTGTAGTGCTAGCCCAGTGAGACACCACACCGCAGTTTAATATGGAGACCCAACTCAGACATATTATACTCCGAGCCTTACCGGTCCTTGTGTAACCCAGTATGCCGAGCGCCAGGCAAGGTAACAAGTACCAACTATTAACGTCTTTTATCCTGTTCAATGACACCTAGTTGTGTCTTGCAGCAATATCGGTTGTATTTGCAGTCTAGCAACTCACATGCACATCAACAGGTAGGTCTTGCAATTAGCTAAGAATTGTTTGACAAAGTGTAGTGCATTTTCTGCTTTTGACAATGTGCTACATTTTGAAATGTACTTGCAATTAGAAATTCACTTTTAATCGAAAAACATTCAGGAACCACTTTTCAGCTTTTGACACCTTTCCATCGTTTTAAAATACAACCTTTGTTTTATTTACATCGATTTACAAATCCCACTTTGACGATGTTCACATAAAATATATATCGTTATTTAGTGAAAGGCTAGCGGAATCTGCAAATTAAGCAAAATATATAAGGAAAAGAACAGATGGACTTTCATCAATAAATATTACTCTGCTATCACTCGCCAGAAGTCCATGTACAAATTCTTCTATATACAGTAGAAACAAAACTTGTCGAACCCTTGTATGAACATACATATATCCGTCATATGAATTCATGTCTGTAGGAGTACAAATGTTTGATCTTCAAGTAAATCATTTTCTCTGAATTTTGGGCGACATTAATTTAAAACTTTATTTTGTTCACGTATCCATGGTTTGATGCGGTTGTCCGTAATAATAGTGTGTTTAGTAGTGTTATATATCCTCTTTAGATATTAGGCTCATTCATGTTTCCAAACTTATGTAAGTGGCCAAAATAAATACTTGTATTGACAAACAACATGTTCTAAATCTAAAAAGCGTGTCATTCGGCATGGCGACAGGACTCTGGCATCTGCATAATACACTGCATTTGATTATCATTTATCAGCATAAATAATCAATTAAGTCTCTGCAAGATATATCTCTGCATTCTGCTAACCAAGTGGTTTCAGATGTATCATGACATCAAAACTTTTCAGGACGCCTGTACGAGTGTTATTTCGGTACGCGTTGAGAGAGAGAGAGTGCTACGGAGAGTGTCCGATAAACAATGTCAAAAAACCTTATGTGTCTTCAGATTTCCGAGTGTTATTGAGTATTAGTGTTTGTAACATAGGAGTCACTATGTCACTTTCATATCGTGTATACTACACAAGTCACTATGCCGTGTTGATATAGTGTATATTACACAACAATTACAATGACCTGTTGATATAGTGTATATTACACAACAATTACTATGAGTTGATATAGTGTATATTACACAACAATTACTATGCCGTGTTGATATAGTATATATTACACAACAATTACTATGACGTGTTGATGTAGTGTATATAACACAACAATTACTATGACGTATTGATGTAGTGTATATTACACAACAATTACTATTACGTGTTGATGTAGTGTATATAACACAACAATTACTATGCCGTGTTGATGTAATGTTTATAACACAACAATTACTATTACGTGTTGATGTAGTGTATATAACACAACAATTACTATGCCGTGTTGATGTAATGTTTATAACACAACAATTACTATTACGTGTTGATGTAGTGTATATAACACAACAATTACTATGCCGTGTTGATATAGTGTATATTTCACAACAATTACTATGCTGTGTTTATATAGTGTATATTTCACAACAATTACTATAGTGTTGATATAGTGTATATTACACAACAATTACTATAGTGTTGATATAGTGTATATCACACAACAATTACTATGACCTGTTGATGTAGTGTATATTACACACCAGTCACTGTGTTGCATTGATATAGTGCATGTTACACAACAGTCAGTGACTATGTAGTATTGGTGTAGTTGTTTATTACACAACAGTCACTATGTAGCGTTGATATAGTGTATATTACACAACAGTCACTATGTAGCGTTGATATAGTGTATATTACACAACAGTCACTATGTAGCGTTGATATAGTGTATATTACACAACAGTCACTATGTAGCGTTGATATAGTGTATATTGCACTTACCTAAATGCAAAATATAGACACGTTGCAATTACGCTCACGTACATACCAATATTCTTATCTCAGGTATATATCACTTATTTTTATCTCCAAAATTCGTTTATGATTTGGATTTGCTGGATGGGATTATCGTTATGTGATTTATGTTGGTACTTATTTAACTCGCTATCCAGCATCGTTTCATTGGATATTGAATCGTAAACCAATAACTTTATGATGCTGATGTACAGTGGTATAAAACTAAACATGTATGTACGTTTCCTATAAACATCTATAACAAGTAGTATTGTACGAACATAGATAACCGTGAGTGGGGGAATATCTCGCCTCAACACCATCATAACGAAATGGAAGCTACTGGCACTTGCTATCATGGTATCCAGGTGTACGCCGTTGCTGGACATTTTATACCTTGTTTCAAATCATGTAAGGCTCAGCAACACAGTTACGAATACATGTTAACGTGTGAAGCGTGACCACAATGACCCCAATGCGATATAAAGAGAAAGTTAACTTACTTCAAAACTCCGTCTCCCAAGTATACCCTGCATCTATGTGTAGTCAGACGGAAGCATGCTTATCTATTTGCTACGTACGTACCTAGAAGTTGTAGGTGACTTTACCACTGTACCTCTTCTGGATTATTGGGGTTTGTTGGGGGGCACTCTGTGTAATCCCATGTTGCACCCACTCGGATTTACGACTTAATCCGCGCAAATCATACAATTAGACTTATAATCGTACTATGCTCCTGTGTCTCAAGGTCTCCGTGGTGTTGGTGTGAGGAGGTCTGTGAGGTACAACAACAGCAGGGCTGTGGGATTAGATCTACCACTGAAAGTGGAATCCACTCGCCTGGCTGAAACTGTATCTTCTGAAGCTATTTATAGCTTCGCGTTCACGTCTGCGCCTGCCTCTCACGTGCTTACGACTAGAATAGATTTGTAAACCAGACTGACTTCTGTATCCTCTCCCAGTGAAATGTTGACAAACATACGTTTGGGAACTTGCCTGCTACTTGGGTATTTCCAGGCTGATTGCCCTCTGGTATGCACCAACGAATGGCTGATGAATGCAGTGAAGGTTTTATTTATATTAGTATAGACAATATAGTGAGATCAAAACTGCTTGCATTCACAAGATTAGATTATGTACTCAGCAAGTGTGTGCATTCTTATGTTTAGGAAGCATTTATGTCGTGGTGTGTAATTCTGTGGATCACCCACTTAAACCTGGCTCAGACTTTGTAGTGTTCGGTTTAGACGAGGAGAAGTTATCTCCCTTTGACCGCTTAATCGTTGGCAACCTACCTGGATTTCATGCATGTGTGACTGTTAGTGTGTACACAAGACGGGTTTTCATATACGTGTGACTGTTGGTGTGTATACACCAGACGGGGTTTCATATATGTATGATTGTTGGTGTGTATATACAAGATGGGCTTTCATGTATGTGTGACTGTTGGTGTGTATACACAAGACGGGCTTTCAAGGATGTGTGACTGTTGGTGTGTATACACAAGACGGGGTTTCATATATGTGTGACTGTTGGTGTGTATACAAGACGGGTTTTCATGTATGTGTGATTGTTGGTGTGTATACACAAGACGGGGTTTCATATATGTGTGACTGTTGGTGTGTATACACAAGACGGGGTTTCATATATGTGTGACTGTTGGTGTGTATACACCAGACGGTGTTTCATATATGTGTGTCTGTTGGTGTGTATACACAAGACGGGGTTTCATATATGTGTGACTGTTGGCGTGTACACAAGACGGGGTTTATTGCATGTGTGACTGTTGGTGTGTATACACAAGATGGGCTTTCATGTATGTGTGACTGTTAGTGTGTATACACAAGATGGGCTTTCATGTATGTGTGACTGTTGATGTGTATACACAAGATGGGCTTTCATGTATGTGTGACTGTTGGTGTGTATACACAAGATGGGCTTTCATGTATGTCTGACTGTTGGTGTGTATACACAAGATGGGCTTTCATGTATGTGTGACTGTTAGTGTGTACACAAGACGGGTTTTCATATACGTGTGACTGTTGGTTTGTATACACCAGACGGGGTTTCATATATGTGTGACTGTTGGTGTGTATACACAAGATGGGGTTTCATGTATGTGTGACTGTTGGTGTGTATACACAAGATGGGGTTTCATGTATGTGTGATTGTTGGTGTGTATACACAAGACGGGGTTTCATATATGTGTGACTGTTGGTGTGTATACACAAGACGGGGTTTCATATATGTGTGACTGTTGGTGTGTATACACCAGACGGTGTTTCATATATGTGTGTCTGTTGGTGTGTATACACAAGACGGGGTTTCATATATGTGTGACTGTTGGCGTGTATACACAAGATGGGCTTTCATGTATGTAAGACTGTTGGTGTGTATACACAAGATGGGCTTTCATGTATGTGTGACTGTTAGTGTGTACACAAGACGGGTTTTCATATACGTGTGACTGTTGGTTTGTATACACCAGACGGGGTTTCATATATGTGTGACTGTTGGTGTGTATACACAAGATGGGGTTTCATGTATGTGTGACTGTTGGTGTGTATACACAAGATGGACTTTCATCCATGTGTGACTGTTGGTGTGTATACACAAGACGGGGTTTATTGCATGTGTGACTGTTGGTGTGTACACAAGACGGGGTTTCATGTAGACTTGCATGTGTGATTGTTGGTGTGTATACAAGACGGGGTTTCATATATGTGTGACTGTTGGTGTGTACACAAGACGGGCTTTCATGTTTGTGTGACTGTTGGTGTGTATACAAGACGGGGTTTCATATATGTGTGACTGTTGGCGTGTACACAAGACGGGGTTTATTGCATGTGTGATTGTTGGTGTGTATACACAAGACGGGGTTTCATATATGTGTGATTGTTGGTGTGTATACACAAGATTGTTTTCATGTATGTGTGACTGTTGGTGTGTACACAAGACGGGTTTTCATATACGTGTGATTGTTGGTGTGTATACACCAGACGGGGTTTCATGTATGTGTGACTGTTGGTGTGTATACACAAGATGGGGTTTCATGTATGTGTGACTGTTGGTGTGTATACACAAGATGGACTTCCATCCATGTGTGACTGTTGGTGTGTATACACAAGACGGGGTTTATTGCATGTGTGACTGTTGGTGTGTACACAAGACGGGGTTTCATGTAGACTTGCATGTGTGATTGTTGGTGTGTATACAAGACGGGGTTTCATATATGTGTGACTGTTGGTGTGTACACAAGACGGGCTTTCATGTATGTGTGACTGTTGGTGTGTATACAAGACGGGGTTTCATATATTTGTGACTGTTGGCGTGTACACAAGACGGGGTTTATTGCATGTGTGATTGTTGGTGTGTATACACAAGACGGGGTTTCATATATGTGTGATTGTTGGTGTGTATACACAAGATGGGGTTTCATGTATGTGTGACTGTTGGCGTGTATACACAAGATGGGGTTTCATGTATGTGTGATTGTTGGTGTGTATACACAAGATGGGGTTTCATGTATGTGTGATTGTTGGTGTGTATACACAAGACGGGGTTTCATGTATGTGTGATTGTTGGTGTGTATACACAAGATGGGGTTTCATGTATGTGTGACTGTTGGTGTGTATACACAAGATGGGGTTTCATGTATGTGTGACTGTTGGTTTGTATACACAAGATGGGCTTTCATGTATGTGTGACTGTTGGTGTGTACACAAGACGGGCTTTCGTGTATGTCTGACTGTTGGTGTGTATACACAAGACGGGCTTTCATGAATGTGTGATACAGGCATGTGTTTCTCTTGGTGCATTCACACACCGGTGTTTCATGGCCACAAACATGTGTGTGTTACTATTATATATGCATGACGGGGTTTCATGTGTAGATGTGGTGACACATTTAGTTTCAGTCGCTCTTGTGAGATGGGTCGTTTAAATTGCAATGAAAGAGTATGTCAGATGGGGGTTAAATCATGCAGTTTGTAAAGTCAGATGTCAAAACGCAGACAGATAGGGAGTATATGCATGCAGTTTGTACAGTCAGGTGTCAACACGCACACATATAGGGAATATATACATGTAGTTTGTACCGTCAGATGTCCACTCGCACACATATAGGGAGTATGTTCATGTAATTTGTACAGTTAGATGTCCGCTCGCAGACAGATAGGGAGTATACTCATGTAGTTTGTAAAGTCAGATGTAGACACGCACACATATTGGGAGTATATTCATGTAGTTTGTACTGTCAGATGTCCACTCGCACATATATAGGGAGTATGTTCATGTTATTTGTACAGTTAGGTGTCCGCTCGCAGACACAAAGGGAGTATATTCATATAGTTTGCACAGTCAGTATATTCATGAAGCTTGTACAGTCAAATGTCCACACCCAGACAGATAGGGAGTATATCCATGTAGTTTGTACAGTCAGATTTCCACACGCACACATATAGCGAGTATATTCATGTAGTTTGCACAGTTAGATGTTCGCTCGCAGACATATAGGGAGTATATTCATGTAGTATGTAGTAAATTCATGTAGATTGTTGTGTCATATGTCTACCTGCAGACAGATAGGGAGTATATTCATGTAATTTGAAAGTCATATGTCCACACGCACACCGATAGGGAGTATATTCATGTAGTTTGTACAGTCTGATGTCCATTCGCAGACAGACAAGGAGTATATTCTTATACTTTGTACTGTCAGACGTCCCCTCGCAGACATAAAGGGAGTATATTCATGTAGTGTGTACTGTCAGATGTCCATACGCAGACAGACAAGGGGTATATTCATGTAGTTGGTACAGTCAGGTGTCCACACGCTAACAGATAGGGAGTATATTCGTGAAGTTCGCAGAGTCCAATGTCCACACCAAGACAGATAGGGAGTATACTCATGTAGTTTGTACAGTCAGATTTCCACACGCACACATATAGGGACTATATTCATGTAGTTTGCACAGTTAGATGTTCGCTCGCAGACATATAGGTAGTATATTCATGTAGTTTGTACACCCAGGTGTTCATACGCAGACAGATAGGGAGTATATTCATGTAGTTTGTACACTCAGATGTCCACTCGCACATATATAAGGAGTATATCCATGTGATTTGTACCGGCAGATGTCCACACCCAGACAGATAGGGAATATATTCATGTAGTTTGTACTATCAGATGTCCACACGCACACAGATAGGTAGTATATTCATGTAGATTGTTGTGTCATATGTCTACCTGCAGACAGATAGGGAGTATATTCATGTAATGTGTACAGTCTGATGTCCACATCCAGACAGATAGACAGCATATTCATGAAGTTTGTACCTTCAGATGTCCACTACAGAGGAGGTAGGGAGTATATTCATGTAGTTTGTACACTCAGATGTCCACTCGCACATATATAAGGAGTATATCCATGTGATTTGTACCGGCAGATGTCCACACCCAGACAGATAGGGAATATATTCATGTAGTTTGTACTATCAGATGTCCACACGCACACAGATAGGTAGTATATTCATGTAGATTGTTGTGTCATATGTCTACCTGCAGACAGATAGGGAGTATATTCATGTAATGTGTACAGTCTGATGTCCACACGCAGACAGATAGATAGCATATTCATGTAGTTTGTACTGTCAGATGTCCATACCTAGACAGACAAGGAGTATATTCATATAGTTCGTACTGTCAGATGTCCATACCAAGACAGATAGGGCGTTTATTCATTTAGTGTGTACTGTCAGATGTCCATACGCAGACAGACAAGGAGTATATTCATATAGTTTGTACAGTCAGATGTCCATATGCAGACAGAGAAGGGGTATATTCATATAGTTTGTACCGTCAGATGTCCA